AGAAAGCACCCTAGCCGACCAATTCCGAATAGGAGAGGTAATCCGCTAAAGCAAAGGCTTACAATCATGATGAGAAAGCCGACGCGAAAGAAGCGAAACTCCGAGATAATGCACAGGGAGCGACGCCACCGAAAACCCTAAGAAAGCCGCCAACCTGTCCACCTCTACCATAGGGAGGCCTGCCTCGAAAAACGAGCTCTTCCAAGTATTTCGACTAGACCCGCCAAATCCTCAAAAGAAGCCAACGCATCCTTAATAAAAGAAAGATATCATGTATCCTCGTACGAGAAAATCATCAACTCATCTGCAAAACATAAGTGAGTCAGGCTAACTCGTTCACACTTCGGATGAAAACGAAACCCCGGTGGTGGCTTATTCAGCACCCGAGACAACACCTCCATAGCCATAACAAACAGGTACGGGGAAAGAGGATCCCCTTGACACAAGCCACGACACTCTGGAAAGTACCCGTCAAGCACACCACTCAAAGAAACCGAGAACATGAGGGACGTAATACAAGCCCTAATCCAATTCACAAACCTGACCGGAGTCCCAATAACCAATAAAAGGCCAAAAAGAAGTCCCAAAATATTATCCACCTTAAGCACACACKGAGGAACACCCTTATTAAGATGATAACCACCCACAAGCTCCTGACATAACAAAATATTATCTACAATACGATGCCCTGGCACAAACGTAGACTGATGTGGGCTAATAAAACTAGGAAGCCAAACCTTCAAACGATTCGCCAATAATTTCATGATGCACTTATAAAGCACATTACAACAAGAAATAGGTCCAAAATCCCTTAGACTCGTAGCATTAGGAGCCTTAGGAATAAGCGTAATAGACGTCGCATTCACTCCCGGCGGCAGGAAAGATGTATCAAAAAAATACATCACTGCTCCACAAAAATCATCCCCCACAAATACTCCAAGCCGCTATAAAGAACCCCACAGAAAACCCATCAAGGCCAGGAGCCTTCCCACTACTCATAGAAAATAAAGTCTCCTTAACCTCTAAAGAGTTCACAGGACGACATAAGTCCACACAGCACTCASTACGCCAAACAAAATCAAGAATCCCAGCGAGTCGATCAGTCAGGTCTTTATAACCCATACGCTCAGACCCTAAAAGATCACGATAAAAGCTAACCACCATCCGAGCAATCTCAGACTGATTAGTAACCTGTTGACCTGCATCATCAGTCAACGAAACTACCTCATTACGAGCCACCCAACCTCGAACACTCCGATTGAAGAAAGCAGAATTCTCCAATCTTTTAATAGAGGATACAATACCTTAATAAATTAATTATGTTCATGTTTGGTAAGTCTTGACTAAACAAAACATATTAAATTAAAAGTTTAAGAGACGATTTTTTTTAAGTAAGGGTAGGAGATTGGACCTCATGATTTCTTAGTTAGAGACAAATACCAATTAGTGCTGAATTAAGCTTTTATAAACCGTTTAAGAGATAAAATTGAGAGAGTCTTCATAGGGGAGCCTTAAGGATCCAAAAAAAAAGGACCTTTTATAATAGACTAGTAAGTAACACGTGCGATGCACGTGAAATTTATCATTTTATTAAGTATTAGCTAGTAACTTTGCTATTTAAATACAAATTTTCCTTAATCTCCACCCCTCTAAATTTCTTTAGTTGTCTCTCCCTTTTTATATCCTCACCCATCAAATATATAAAATGAAAGACTTAGGTTTTGTATAGKTTACAAAATAATTATTAAGAGCGAGCGTAGCTCAACACTTGTCTTTTACTAAGAGATCATGAGTTAAAATCTCCACCCCACTTGTTGTACTAAAAAAATAAAATGCATATTCTAATGTATATTACATTGGTTTGATCTCATCTATAAATAGATTTTCTTATTTAATCAACTAAATTTTTAATAAATAAAGGGATATTTTAAAAAATAATAAAATTAATGATAAGTGCTAAGTAAATGTTTCAATCTTGGTAAGAGTGGATGATGAATCTTCAAAATACATATAATCTAAATAGATTAAATATATATATATATATATATTAGAGAGATCAATTTGGTGTTAAAATTGGAAAGATAGACCATCGACTTGAATTAGTGACCCTGATGAAAGAGTAGAGCTTCTGAAGTCATATCTCCTTATCCCAATGCCAAATCGAACAGAAAATACTCCGGCACAATCACGTGTTAATTTCATACATAACAATTATAATACAAACTACTGTCAGTGAAGGAGAAATTGACAATACACAGAAAACATCTTCAACAGAAAAGCATTATTAGAGAAAATCTGTAAAGTTAAGACTGAAAAATGTGAGGAAATAAAGTTCTATCGGAAATCACACCGTTTTATGGGATCAGGAAATACCATTCCCCACCTGGTTAAAATTGACTGAATCCCATGATGAGCAGACTTGTTCATAAAATCTATAACAAATCCTAAGTTCATWGATTAAAAAAAAGGYGTCCAATCTGCTCAAAGCCTCCATYTATGCTATGTATCATTGATAYCCTARATTTGAAATACAAATCTGATTATTTTTTCCTTCTTAATGATTCTCCAAACTTGATCTATATTTGCTTGAAATGGTGCCATAAATTCACATGTCAAGCAAAATTAAACTTTTAGAATGTTAAAGGAAACTTCTAAATAGTATAGAAACTGGTCTTGTTAAGACTTTCTTACTGATGTCTAGRRTAAATAAAAGTAAATTGTATAACTAAAAATTATACTTTCAAGAAAACTAATCTCTGACTCTGAGTGAGGTAATGTTGGAAGTGAAATTCTAAAGGCAAACTCAAATCTTACCCGAATT